GACGACTTCAAACAATGCTTGCATAAGCTGAAATAACTACACAAGTCTGACTTCTGAAGGCAAGAATGTGAAAAATGATTCTTAATTCAAACCTCTCCTGTGGATTATTGACAAATGTTAATCAGGCAATATTTCATTAAAGCCGTACGTTATAAGTAAATAATTAAAATTAGTTCCTAGCTAACTTAATTTAATGGTACAGAAGTGTCAGCTATATCAATGAGTATTTTATTTCTCTATCATCTAATACGATCACTCAGGAACACTCTGCTTTCAACTTCAACAAGTATATTTTGATTTTTCATTTAGTTGTATATGATTAATTATACAGACAATTTGTGTGTTTTATTATTTTTTAATTAGTTGGATACGATTAATTATATGGGCAACTTGTGTTTGACCGGAGAAAGAACCGGGGGGATCGGGTCAAATCGCCATGGCACGTGGCGCAGTATGCGAATATGGCCATTGGCCAATGAGCGAAGGCAACGCAATTTAAAAATATCCTTCATATTTGTGTCTCCCCTTTTTGGCATAGTAAAATAATTTTCTAAAGAAAATTCAAAGCTAAGAATATTTTTAAAAAGCAATTTAAAATTCAAAATGATTTTAAACATATAAAGGGCTTAGATTATAAGAAGTCATCCTATGAGCAATAATAAAAACAGAAACGAGAAGAACAGCAGGATAAATGACGACAATGAAATCAATTTTCTAAAGCGAAATATGATTAATTACCATTAAGATAATACATTAATAGTACAAAATATTATTTGAGACTAATTATGTCAGTATTAAAAAAACACTTACAAAATAAATTTCATGTGGAGTTAGAGGAGAAATATGCACTTTTGGGATGATGCCTTGTGCTTGTAAATGTAATGTATTATGTATATTGGCCTAAGTGCCATGCTTGTTGAATTTGCATGTGGATTTCATCTGTATCTTCTGTTTTGGACTTCACTGTTAAATTAAGAGATCAGGAAAAGTGAGTTCCCTCCAGGACTTGAATTTTGCCTTGGATTTTACTTCACATCCGTTTGGCCATTCTGTTGTTTCCACCTCCATTGCTTTCAGAGAACAAATCCAAAGTAAGACCAGTAACTTCAGGTCAACATCCCAAACCAGCGGTTCCCCTTCTGTCCATCTCTCTCTTCTGCTGCTTGGTTTCTAACAAACAAGTTCCTCTTTCATGTCTTTTTCAGCGATCTCTATTTCCCCTCATAGTTTCTGTTTGATCCTTGAGCTGATGGAAGAAGTAAATGGTGGGGGTGAATGACTATTCATCTCTTCGCTGGTTTCTTCTTTAACCTTCCCATCATTGACTTTGCTTCCGTTTCAGCAAACGCATGCTAGGACATGACTTGTGGACCAAAAGTTGGTTTCAATCCGGCGTTCTGAGAAGCTGCTCCCTGCTTGCTTATGGCTTTTATTCTCTCTCCTCTCCCTCATTTTTGTCTCACGCTTGTCCCCCCGTCTCATGCTTCTCACTCTGTCTCCCGTCACTCTCTCTGCCAGTGCCACTGCCGAGCTCGTCTCCTCTCCTCTGTAGATCAGTCACCAGTCGTAGTCGCCGTCGCCATTCATGCTCGTCATGGGAAAGACGACTCTGGGCATGTTGAATCCTGACGCGAGAATGAAGGGAATCTATATTCTCGCATCCCTGGGGCAATCCCACTTGAGAGGAAGGAAAAGGAAAGGAGAGGGCATGAATTTTGAGGTTGGAAGCTTGTGCTTGGAGATCTATTGAACTTAGCTGCATTGAAGGGTGTGAGGATGATGGTGACTGTAACGCCATGGCTTGAAAATAGTTTAGCCATTTGTGTGAAGGGGGTGAGTGGCTTTGGGACATTAAAGGCACGAGAAGGAAGTGAAGGTGGTCAGTGAGTGTAGCCATGGCCATAGGAATCAACCTTGTTTGCCGGTGATCGGAGGTGTAGCCGATAAGACCCTCCCTCCCTCCCTCGGCCGACATGAGCATATTGGTCTCTACCAAATATTAGAAATGAGAGATAAAGATTGAGATTGAGACTGAAAAATTATATTAAAAAAATATTTAATATGAATAATTGTATGATACTTGAGATTAGACAAATCTGTATATGTGGGATTGAAGAATACCATGAGGAATTTTCCTCTCCCATCTATATAGGATTGCTTAATCTCATGTGATAATAAATCATTTGTGCTAAACATTCTTCTAACATTTGTTTTCAACCACAATCCCCATAATTATCTTTCATTAGATTAATATTTCTTAGTGCTAATATCAATCCAATAAAATTCAGCCATTTAAACATATTTTACCCATTAAATATGACATTTTTTATTATGATATTTTAAACTTATAATTTTACATCATTCACCATTTTAATTCTCATATTGTGTACACACAATATATACATAAATAATTTTGAATTTTTTAAAATTATGTTTCACTTTATATTTACAAAAAAATTATAATAACTCTAATTTTTTAAAATATATTTCAGTCATGAAAATTTTCTCCTTTACATTGAAATAATTTAAATTTATTATATGGTGTAAATTCATTTTTTTAATCATTTTTTATTATTTAATAAAACTCATACTTATTTTGATAATTTTACAAACTAAACTTACTAATTTAAATTCATTGTATTATGTAAATTTTTTTTTATTTTTTATTATCTAATAAAACTTATACTCATTTTAGTAACTTTACAAACTAAACTTACTTTTATTTAATCATAATCTAGATAAATTTTTATCCAATTTTATTTTTACAAACTAACTTTTATAAAATTCAATCAAAATACAATTCATATTATTCAATTTAACTTTTACTCAGTTAACTTTTTTAAAAGTCAAATTACCTATAGGCTATCTTTTCAAATGCTAATCCATTCACCCTCAATTCTTTTTTTCCTTCAAGATTTACTTTCGTCTTTGAATATTCTGTCATGGTTGTTTGAAAACCTGTTCTTATTGAATATGTATGTGAATACAAATTGAGCAACAGGATTTGTAGCTTTCATCATAATAAATTCAAACAAAGTAAGGATGGAGTATTTGATTTTTGACGTTCTCATCAAAGATGAGAAAATTCTTGGTGAAACTTGGTTTATAAACATCTGTGTATTATCTATCAAGCCATCGTGTTGAGAAGTTAGCATGTATTACGGGCTAATTCTACCCAAAAAAAAAAAAATAGTTGAATAAATAAGCCTACATTCCTCTTAATAAGTAATGTGAGTGGTGGATTGGATTTTATATATACTACCGCATATTAAGAGTTACTTTAAGAAAATTATTTAATTATTTATAATAAATATGAGTTGATTTTTTAAAAATATTTTTGTTATTTATGTTTATCTTTGAATGAAATTTTTTTCATGTATGTAATTAATAGAGATGTTTTAAAGAACAAATTACAATTTAAAAACCACAACATGAATTGAAATCTTACGCTAGTACTTGGAACGATTAGAGATAGTATTTAAAGGATTTTTTTTCCTGGAAATTAGCTTGTAAAATAGAGAATAATATTTATATAATTATACTCCTCCAATTTTAAATATAAAACTATTTTTATAATATAATTTATATTATAAAAAGAGTTTTATATTTAAGACTGGAAGAGTATTTGCTAATTACCAACGGAGGGGTAAAAGTGGCAGTAAATGCTATGTTGGATAGGATTGAATTGCCGAGTGGCAACTCCAAACCACGCTCGCATGTGCTGAACAAATTAATTAGCGTGATGGACGACGACTTCAAACAAGACTTCTGAAGGGAAGAGTGTTAAAAAGAAAAAGAAAAAGAAAAGAAAAAAAATTCTTAATTCAAACCTCTCCTAGGAATTATCGACATATGTTAATCAGGCGATATTTCATTAATTCCCTACATTATAAGTAAATAATTAAAATTAGTTCCTAGCACACTTAATTTAATGGTACAGAAGTATCAGCTATGCCAATGAGCATTTTGTTTCTCTATATCTAATGCCCTATGATCACTCAGTAACAATCTGCTTTCAACCTCAACAAGTAAATTTTGATTTTTCATTTAGATGTATACGATTAATTATACAGACGACTTGTGTTTTTTTTTTAGTATTTTTTAATTAGTTGGATGTGATTAATTACATAGGCAGCGTTTGTTTGACTGGAGAAAGAATGAATTAGATCGGGTCAAATTGCCATGGCACGAGGCGCAGTATGCGAATATGGCCATTGGCCAATGAGCGAACGCAACGTAATTGAAAAATATCCTTCATAAGGTGTTCAAAAATCCGATGGTACGGACCAGTCCAATCCAAGTAAATTATATAATTAAATTAGACTAGACTGGATTAGACTGGTTGGTTGACTTGAATTGCGTTTCGAACCACGTGATCAAACCACTTGGATTGGTTCGGTCCAGTCTACGTGAATTTTTTATTTTTTAATAATTTGTAATTTAGATGTTGCGCTTATTTTTTTAAATGTTTTTAGAGACTTTTATATGTTTATGATTAAGTCTTAATATTTTAGGATGAGTTTTATATGATTATAAGTATTTTAAACGTTGAAATTCAAAATGATTTTAAGCATATAAAGGGCTTAGATTATAAGAAGTCATCCTATGACCAATAATAAAAACAGAAACGAGAAGGACAGCAGGATAAATAACGACAATGAAATCAATTTTCTAAAGCGAAATATGATTAATTACCGTTAAGATAACACATTAATAGTACAAAATATTATTTTAGACTAATTATGTCAGTATTAAAAAAAGACTTTAAAAAAAAAATTTCATATGGAATTAGAGGAGAAATATGCACTTTTGGGATAATGCCTTGTGCTTGTAAATGTAATGTATTACGTATATTGGCCTGAGTGCCTTGCTTGTTGAATTTGCATGTGGATTTTATCTGTATCTTCTGTTGTGGATTTCACTGTTAAATTAAGAGATCAGGAAAAGTTAGTTCCCTCCAGGACTTGAATTGCCTTGGATTTTACTTCACGCCCCTTTGGCCATTCTGCTGTTTCCACCTCCCTTCTTTCAGAGAACAAATTCAAAGGAAGACCAGTACCTTCAGGTCAACATCCCAAACCAGCGGTTCCGTTTCTCTCCATCTCTCTCTTCTGCTACTTGGTTTCTAACAAGTAAGTTCATCTTTCATGTCTGGTTCACTTTTAGCTATGACTCAGTCTACATTTGGTTCGTGCTTTTTCAGCGATCTATTTCCCCTCATAGTTTCTGTTTGATCCTTGAGCTGATGGAAGAAGTAAATAGTGGGGGTGAATGATACTAGTAGTGGGCACTATTCATCTCTTCGCTGGTTTCTTCTTTAACCTTCCCATCGTTAACTTTACTTCCGTTTCAGCAAATGCATGCTATGACTTCTGTGTTCTGATTTGACAGAAAGTTCTTTTGTTTTTTTTTTTTGTCCGGCCAAGATTTGACAGAAAGTTCAGCCAAAGAAAATTCCATATTAAGCTGTGACTTCTCTTTATATAAGATGCATCGGTCGACAATTCTACTAATTCAAGATTGGGAATTGGAAAATTGATCATTTCAAGGCTTTTGCCTCTTACGATGAATTCACTTTTTCTGCACATGATCTCAGTTATTGGAGGATTATAGATTAATGTTCGATTACATGCATTGCAGCACTGGGTTCGATCCATTGGAGCCCCTGAATTACATTGTGATGAGTTGTTTCTGTTGTATTATCAGAAAAAAGGGATGTGTCTCAGCCGCACAACCAACCGAAATTGATCTTGGTACACAAATACTTAGCCTGTTCTTCTGTTGTTATTGTTTGCACTTCCAATACAAAATATACTATTATGCTTTTATTACCTGATATTAAAAAGTTTCGCTATATTCCCAAAGTTCTATTTCTAAATTATGCTATCATGTCTATGTTGGGTAAGAGGTTTCAGACATTCAGAATGTAAACCTTTACACCTACAAGGAACTCCGAATTGCCACAGAAGGTTTTAGCCCAGAAAACAAGATAGGGCAAGGCGGTTTCGGATCTGTCTATAAGGTGACTGCAGTAATATGGTTTCATTTGACAATTAATGAAGAATTCTCAACCTGCTGCTTCATTTTTGGGACATTTTCACCTGTGCTATGTCCATGTTTCTTTCTTCAGTGACCAATGATAACTTTGTTTTTTGATCAGGGAAAACTGAGAGATGGGACTCTTGCTGCTATAAAGGTGCTATCAGCTGACTCGCATCAAGGGGTTCGGGAATTCCTGACAGAAATCAAGGTGATCACCAGCATAGAGCATGAGAACCTAGTTAAGTTGTTCGGATGCTGTGTGGAAGGAAATCACAGGATTTTGGTGTATGGCTATCTTGAAAACAACAGCCTAGCTCAAACACTTATTGGCAAGTATTTATTTTGCATTGGATATACGAGTATAAATTGTTGACATAATCATGATTCAGTCTTGTGATTTTATAGGTGGAGGCCATAGTAACATTCCATTCAGTTGGCCTGTGCGGCGGAACATTTGCATTGGCGTTGCCCGAGGCCTAGCATTCCTTCATGAGGAGGTTGAACCACATATTATCCATAGAGACATTAAAGCAAGCAATATACTACTTGATAAAGACCTGCAGCCCAAAATTTCTGATTTTGGTCTGGCAAAGCTTCTTTCTCCAAACCTGACCCATATTAGTACACGTGTTGCTGGTACAGCGTAAGTTCCTAAAATTTGCTTTGATTTTTGGAAACATACAACTTATTTATACCATTTGCTTTAATTGCTTCTTTTCCTTGTATCTTGGTTTTGATTCTTTCAAATACTGTTGGAAATTCTAGCCATTTGCTTCCTACTATGACCATATATTAAACTGTGTGGTTTTTATAGTGGTTATCTAGCGCCTGAGTATGCAATACGAAGTCAAGTAACAAGAAGATCAGATGTGTACAGTTTTGGAGTTCTACTATTGGAAATTGTTAGTGGGAGGTGTAACACAAATAGACGGTTACCTCCTGAAGAACATTATCTTCTTCCAAAGGTATGAACCTTTCATTTGGAAAGTACAAAATGAGAAAGGGCTACCAAACGCGGATGTTGATTTGTTTTTTTAATTGCCAGATCAGTTTGAGTGAAAATAACTCATGAAGCTGATCTACATTGAGAGAGAAATTATTCCTAATTCTTAAGGTAGTGTGAAATGCCCACCTATAAGAAGTTGGAACTCGAGGGTTTTGTGATAAAATCGCTGAAGTTTGGCAAAGATTTGCTTGATAATCCTGGGAGCAATTTCATGTGTTCAAACAAGACACGGTTCTGTCTCTTTAGTTGCATTTTCAGTCTTTTAACTATAGTTTAGATAACACATTAGTATAAATTTTACCTCGATGTTACTTACCATGCTTTCTAGAGGAATTTAAGGTAGTGATTAGGGATGTAAATACAATGTAATCATTCTTTTTTCCTTTTTGTCTAATCATTTGGAGGGAATAAGTTGTTATAGTGGGCTATAATTAACCTGGGACAACTTCTCTTTTACAGTTGACGTCCCTTGAGACCTGGAATCTCTAGGGATACTTCGAAAGGAGGAGAATCAAATGAAAAGTTTGTTTGGATGGAATCTGAATTAAATATTCTCTTTTCTTTCCTCGTCATCCATCCTTCTTAATCCAAACAAAGTATAAATGGTTCGAGATTCCTGCAAATTGCATAAATACCCCTTTTCTTTTAATCTTGGATTGAATTGCATATTATTTGAAGCGATCATAGCATAGAAGTCATCCTAATATTTATTACAGTTATGAAGATGGTTGAGAGGATGATACAATTGTATGACTTGCAGGCATGGACTATGTATGAAAGTGGGGAGCTGGAGAAACTGGTGGATGCATTGCTAGAAGACAACTTTAATATTGAGGAGGCATGCCAGTTTTGTAAAATCGGTCTTCTCTGCGCTCAGGATTCTCCTCAGCTCCGACCATCAATGTCTACTGTGCTTGGCATGTTGATGGGTGAAATTGACGTTGATGAAAAGAAAATTACAAAGCCAGGATTACTGTTTGAGTTTGTCGAATCCAAAGATGAAAAGATGCAAAAAGCTGAGGCTGAAGTGGAAAATACGTCTTCCCTTGGCATCACAGGGAAGCAAGATGTTTCCTCTTTGACAGAGACCACGGCCTCTTTTGCTACCATGACCTTCACTTCAATTTATGATCGGAGCTGTTAAGTTGAGTATATGCATTTACGCTTGAGTTCTGCTCTCCCCTCTTATCAAAAAGTTGTCTTCTCTTCTTTGTCGTGCTACATACTGCAATGTAAAGTTTTGTTTTTTGCCCCTCATGTAAATGAGTTTATAGCATTTGATGATTCATTTAACACTTTCTGAAACCTAGGATAGTATTTGAAATATGCTGCATTAGTAGATTGCTTATTTTTGGTTATTTAAAGGTCTAGCAGAGGTCTTAGCTCTACATGACGTTATTGCCCTGTGTACTGCTCCATTAATATGGTTGCATTAATAATCGATATCCAATTTTAATGTGATTGATATGTTCTATTTATGTTTGCTTACATCATCTGCACATTGCATTTGTTATTTTCCAATTGAAAGTGAAGTGATATATTTCTGGTTTGAGAGGAAAAGAGGGTCTAAATACTGCTCTTTTTCCTATCATCTTGCTTCTCGGGTTGACAATTAATGTATATTCATGGCTAAGTGTAGACGCTATAATAGTCACAAAAGTCTGAAGAATCAAAACATTTTTTGGGCAGGTTTGCCCTGATTATTTGCATACAATATACAAACATAAATTATTCTAACCCTATCATAAGTATTCATTCTTGGTGGTAAGGAAGAAATATAAAATAATCTGGGGAAAGTACCTATTCCTTATGAAGCTGATCTATTATTTCTAGTTCTGTGGCATCTATACCACAGAATCAAAAAGCATAGCACTCTATACCCAATTATGAAACTCAATATCACAGCCAAATTACTCCATCTTTGGGACTCTCTCAGACCTTGCTGTCTTAAGAACTCATCTCCAGATAAACTGCATTCTCCATTCCTATTCTCTAGGCATCTGGCTTTCCCTTGTTTTCCTCCATATTCATTTATCATAAAACACTCGAATGGGTACTTGAATAGACTTATATAGTGCATGAAAATCCAGTATCTGGGTATGTTTCCCTTTGATATGAAATACCCTGAAAATAGAAAGAAAGAACCCATTAACCCTGCAATCACTGACGTTCCCAGGATGAAATTTGGCACCAGAGCACTGAAACAAGCTACAAGAGAATTTGACATGAGGACCACCAACCAAACAACCAGAGAAAAGTATAGGAACCCATCTATTTCCTTCCTTAAACCTACCAGCCAATAAACTGGAGTAGAATATAGAAGACCAACCATCAAAAGGAAAGGAAGAAACACTAGTGTGTTTGCTAGAACATATGAAGATACTCTATAAGCTCCTCTTGAGGTCTCTTTCATCAAAGTCCTTTTCTCTTGCAAGAAAATAGGCAGGCCTTCTGTTGTCGAAGATAACAAAAAGGTAAGGCTGAAAGCAAAAAATCCACTTCGTGTCTGTAAGGCAACTTGGCCTTCTCGGTTGCCAACATTAAAAAATATAGTCCCTAGTATAAATCCAGCTACTAAGGCTTGTATGACTCTGGTGACGAACAGTTGCTTGGTTCTGAATATGTTGCAGCAAAACCTTTGTCCTAGGATTAGAATCTCCTCCACTGGAGAATTTGGGTACTGAACAGCCTTTTCTCTGACATACAATGAGCACGGCATTCTCATTTTACAAACTTGTTCCTCCCTGTCTCTGAGAAGAAGTTGATTGTTCCTAGATTCTGAAGTTTGTATCACCAAGCATCCCATGACATCAAGGGCAAATTCAAGGACATTGACATGATGTGGAATATGATGCCCAGCCAACTTGAGCCTAGCCTCAAGAAGATTCAGTGACCCATTATGCATGACAAATCCATCCGAGAGCAGAACAAGATGATCAACCAGCTGTAAAATCCGAAACCCAGGTTGGTGAATGGTTAAAACGATAGTCTTACCTTGATTAAATGCCATTAATCTAAGCATTGAGACTATGTTCAGCGCAGATGCTGAATCCAACCCTGAAGTTGGTTCATCAATCAAAATAACTGCAGGGTCATGAACCAAATCAACTCCGATGGAAACTCTTCGCCTTTCCCCACCTGATATACCTTGGTCTGATGATCCACCACGACCAGTACCAATTCTTGAATCTGCAATGTGATCCAACCCAAGCTCCTTCATCAACCCTGCAACTCTTGCAGCAGCCACTTTTCTCCCCCCAGGAAGCCTCAGAAGTGCACTATACATGAGTGTTTCTCTAACTGTAAGCGAAGGGAACAATGTATCTTCTTGTGTGACATACCCACATGTTCTTCTGAATTGCTTTAAGTCCATGGGCCTATGATTGACAAGAACTTGCCCTGAAACCTCACATAGGGATACTCTCCCTGCAAGAATCTCTAGCAGTGTGGTCTTTCCAGCTCCACTAGGACCAGCAATAACTGTGAGTTCTCCAGGTTTGGCCTCACAATTTACATCTTTTAAGATCAGCTTAGCACTGCTCCTTGGACTTGAACCAAAAAACAGACTTCTGAACTCATCAAGCTGGCTGCGCAATCTGCATGATAAGTTCTTGGTTTCTATTCTAAATGGGGTTTTTCTGGGACATGAAACTGGCTCCATGGTGATCCCATTGTATGTTTGTGTGCATGCAAATGCAAAGTGAGAGAAAAAGGA